GTATAACTTTTATGCTTGTATGATAAGATAGTTAGTGGTCATGAGAAGTTGATAGTGCAAGTGATTCTGTTGAGTGATGGTCCGGAATCGTATACTTGTTTGGATTCCGTTGAGTGATAGTCTGGAATCCCTTCTACTTCGTGATTCTGTTGAGTGATGGTTCAGAATCGTATACTTGTTTGGATTCCGTTGAGTGATGGTCTGGAATCCCTTCTACTTCGTGATTCCGTTGAGTGATGGTTCGGAATCGTATACTTGTTTGGATTCCGTTGAGTGATGGTCCAGAATCCCTTCTACTCTGCGATTCCGTTGAGTGATGGTCCGGAATCATATCCTTGTTAAGATTCCGTTGAGTGATGGTCCATAATCGTATCCTTATTTGGATTCTATTGAGTGATGGTCTGGAATCATTTCCTGGTTTGGATTCCGTTGAGTGGTCCAAAGTCGCATCACTTGACTTGTTGGTTTCTTAGATTTGACATCAGCTTTAGAGATGCAGACTTGGCTTAACTGTGTCACTCTAGCCTTAGTTTTAGTATATTTGTGAGCAATGGTTTTGAGAATCTTGTGAATTGAATTAGAAAAGCTGTTGGACGTTTGGGTGACTCTTTCATGATTTTCTATGATTCGATTATGATATCATAAGGTATGAATTTAGAAGATATGGTTATAGTTGTTATTATTTTGGTCAAATTAGTTAATTAATGTGGCTAGAGAATTATATTGTGCTTCGTCGGTTCTTTGATATAATATATGTTGTGAATTGCGGTATCATGTTGCGACATAATGACTTATATAGAAGATGGAAGGGAAATCATGATTTTCAGGTGGGTTTGTTATGTAACTCTGAGTCTAGTAATTTTATGCTTGGCAAGTTCTATTGATTGATTGAGAAATGTTATGCCTTTCAGCTTAAACGGACTGTGATATATGTCAATTATAGTGCATGACGAACTATGAATGGCTTGATCTATATTTAGGGTACGTAAGCAGTCTAACGAGGATGTTAGATGCAGCCATAAAGCATACGAAAAATTACTATGTGATTCGATTATCGAATTGTGCTTTGCCCATATTCCGGAGTCGGGGTATGATAGATACGGGTATTTGGTGACATCACGTGTCGATCCTAGACGTATGTCGGGATCGGGGCTTGACATGGGTGAAATTGTGTTGACTATATGTTATGTGTTAAATAGAATTCCTAACTCAAAAACGAATATTTCTCCTTATGAAATTTGGAAAAATAAGAAACCAAATGTGTTGTATTTCAGAACTTGGGGTTGTTTAGCTTATGTTCGTAAACCTGATAAAAAAAGATTGAAATTGGCTAGTAGAGCATATGAATGTGTTTTTATTGGTGATGCATGTAATAGCAAAGCATATAGATTTTATGATTTGAAAAACCATGTCAAATTGAGTCACTTGATGCTGACTTTTATGAGAATAAATTTCCTTTTAATCTTCGAAATAGTGGGGGTTCTAATTCTTCTAAAATTTATGCACCTCCTGTTGTAGAACATAGTCAATCTGCATTAGAACCTAGGAAAAGTAAAAGAGCTCGAATAACTAAAGATTTTGGACCTGATTTTCATGTATATAACTTACAAGAAGATCCTAATACAATTCAAGAAGCTTTAACTTCTTTAGATGCAGCTTTGTGGCAAAAAGTTATAAATGATGAAATGGACTCCCTGGAGTCAAATCAAACTTGGCACTTGGTGGATCTTCCACCTGGTTGCAAAACAATAGATTGCAAATGGATTCTTAAAAGAAAATTAAAACCTGACGGTTCAGTTGAAAATTTTAGAGCCCGACTTGTTGCTAAAGGCTATAGACAAAGAGAAAATATGATTTCTTTAATACTTATTCACCTGTGACTAGAATAACATCTATTCGTGTATTATTTGCTTTAGCTTCTATTCATGATCTTGTTGTGCACCAAATGGATGTTAAAACAACTTTCTTAAATGGTGAATTATAGGAAGAAATATATATGGATCAACCAGAGGGTTTTATCATTCCAGGACAAGAAAATAAAGTTTGCAAGTTAGATAAGTCACTTTATGAATTGAAATAGGCTCCTAAACAATGGCATGCAAAATTTGATAGTTTGATTACTTCGAATGGTTTTAAAATAAATGAAAGTGATAAATGCATCTATTATAAGTCTAAAAATAATATATGCATTATAATATGCTTATATGTGGATGATTTGCTTATTTTTGGTTTGAATATTCATGTTATGAATAATGTCAAAACTTTATTATGTGCTAATTTTGATATGAAAGACTTGGATGAAGCTAGTGTAATACTTGGTTTGAAAATAACTAGGTCCGAAAATGGGTTTTCTTTAGATCAATCCCACTACATAGAATTTTTTTTAAGAAAGTATAATTATTTTGATTGTAAACTAGCATGTATTCCTTCTGATCCTAGTGTAAAATTGTTCAAGAACACTGGTGACAGTATTAAACAATCTAAGTATGTGAGCATTATTGATAGTTTTCGTTATGCTACTGATTGCACTAGGCCTGGTATATCTTATGTTGTAGGAGTTTTATGCAGGTTCACTAGCAGACCTGGTTTGGAGCATTGACATGCTATAGAGAGGCTTATGAGATACCTTAAAAGAACGATGAATTTCAGATTACACTATGAGAAGTTTCCCGTTGTCCTAGAAGGTTACAGCGATGCTGATTGGAATACCCATTCATATGACTCTAAAGCCACTAGTGGATATATTTTTAGTATTGGTAGCAGGGCTGTGTCATGAAGTCGAAGAAACAGACTATCTTGGCTCAGTCTACTATAGAGTCATAATTAATAACACTAGTTACGGCAAGCGAAGAAGCAGGATCGTTGAGAAACCTACTATCATATACCCATTTATGGGAGAAACCGATTCTAGCAGTTTTTATCCATTGTGACAGCACATCGGCAATAGCTAAAGTACAAAACCGTTATTATAACAGGAACATGCGACAAATACGTCGTAAGCACAACACTGTAAGAGATTATCTCTCTAATGGAGCTGTAAGAGTGGATCATATACGGTCTGAAGAAAACTTGGCTAATCCTTTAATGAAAGGATTAGCACGAGAAAAGGTTTGGAAAACCTCGAAAGGGATGAGACTAAAGCCTTTAGAAAATTGAGTCATTTGTGATAGCAACCCAACCTATAGACTGGTGATCCCAATAAATAGGTTTAAAGGGTAATAATAAGTCACAAGTGATATGAGTGAAGTTTTGCTAATTTAATTTGGAAAATTATTCCATGTCCATCCCTAAGAAGCCTGACATCTTGAAGCGTTTTTAGGTTGAGATTTTTTTTCTCTTAGTAAGGTCTATGCTCTATGTTGAGTGGGATATCTAGCTGCAGGAATATCCTTGATAGTCTTACCTATGTGGATGTGGAAGTGAGGCCGCTTCCTATGAAATCTTGGGCAAGTTTCTAGAGCATTCACTATACTGGGATATAAGCACATGATCGTAATATGCTGACTTTTTAAACTTCACCTTAATAAAGTTATGTGTGTGGTGTTGTCAGAGATAGAGTTCAAAACTATAAGTTACTCTAGTATAATTTGGATCACTAACACTATGTACATGTTCAAGTTGAGAAACACCTTTACTTATGCATATCTTTATGATATGTTGCTTGATATACAATTTTTAAACAAAAACAAGTGGGGGATTGTTGGAGCAGTTATGTTTTTATTTAATATATGTGTGTGTACATATATATATATATATTTATGATTTGTTTTATTAGAAACATTAAATATATATAACTGTCATTAGGAGTAATTTTTATTCGTAAATATATTGGAGACGTTGTCAATTAGGCGTAATTTCCAATCTTAATTATATAGGAGACATGAGGAAGTTTATTACTTCAACAAATTTGAAATGCCTTCTCTGAATAGAGATGAAGATCACGTCCACATCCATATATAATCTATCCGTTTTGATTTGTATGTTTTGGTTTTTTCCAGATTTCTAGTCCTTAATTTATAAATCCTTCAACCTCTATTTCTTTACTTTGTATATAAATACAAGTCCTGAGTATCGATAAAAAAAAGATATATATATATATATATATATATATATAGAGAGAGAGAGAGAGAGAGAGAGAGAGCTATAATCTGATAAATAATTTTTGAAATTAAGTTTTGAGAGCAACATATTGAAAGGGTGCAAGTTTGAAGGTTCTTCCATTATGCAAGGAAGAACCTTATCAGAAGAAGGTTTTAGGCTGTTTTATCATGAGGACGACGTTGTGTTTGTGAACTGCTTGCACATTTTGGACAGAGCCGCGAAACGTCTTAAAGAGAGCGACTTAGTCTGCGACTCATCCCAAGAATCATTCATCACTCAAGGCTTTTACATTTTTCGGGTAACTTTGTTCCTTTCTATTTCAGTTTTCAACAAACTACATTAATTTGACAAAACTAAATTCTATTGTACGTGACTTAAACAAATATATAAAATGAGAATTGGCTTACAGAAATGGTGATTTAACTAAACAAAACAAGTAAATGTAGAAACTTAAAATAATAGAAATAATTGAAGAAAATTAGATTGACAAGGCACTAGAGTTTGACCTTTACCAACAACACTCCTACGTAGTTCTTCCAATTCCTTAAGTAATCGAAAACACACATGCCTTGAAGGTTGAGTTTTTCCTTATGTAATTTTACTTGTGACATTCAAGCTAAATCACATATCACTACATGCAATTCATCCATAACATTGAGATTAAATATAAACATGAGTGATTTATTGATCTTGGTGAAAATCCTTTTAATAAACCATGTAATCCCTAAGAGTATCATATTTACCTTAGGAGAAATTACAATCCTCAATCACAAGAATCATAACCAATTTTAACGTGATATTCGTTCAAAATTACATTCGATGACTGTTCTAAGCATCCCAATGGTGATCAAGCATCAAAGCACGTAGATAATTTAATTTAGTAATTGAAAATATCAAAGTAAGCATGTAACAATACTTAAACAATTAAAAGAGACGTATTCATGTTGAAGCTCATGACCTCACTCAAGCGAAAGAAAATTAATTATACATACTTATCTGAAAACATAAAAAATTATCCATAAAAAATCAAAGCAAAAATACAACCTTTATTTACAAGAATTATTCCTGCTGAGCTGCTTCCATCCTCCGCTCTCTGCCTTTGCTCTCTTCTTCTACTGAGCCTTCCGTCCTTCTCCCTGCTTCTCTTCTGTTTTTCCTCGTCTGCTTCGTGCCCTTCCCTCGACCAAATGCAGCTATCTGCTTTTTCCCAGCCACAAAGGCCCAATGGAAGACAAGTCAAATTTCACTTCGGTAGTGGGATTGGCAAGGCAAAGTACAAAGTTACCTGTCTCTTTCTTTTTTCTCCACTTGCCGTGTCCCATCTTGGAAAATTCCAAAAACGTTCGGTCATTCCCAGTTGCCAAAGCAGGTTGGAGCTTTTGAACTCTTCTTCCGCTTTCTACGCACACCCACTACCTCACAACTACAACTTTATTAGCCAATCTAATATTACATTTTTAATTGCTTACCATGGCCTCTTCCAATTTTCTCAAGTTTCTACAAATGGATTTTTATTTAGAAAAAATAATGAAAAGTGTTTGAAAATTTTAAGTTTTAATGAAAATGATAAAAATATGTTGTAAGTGAATATTATTAAGATTGACTTTTTAAAATAAAAATGTGATTTTTTATTAAAATAAATAATACCAGGACTGTTTCGTTAAAACTTCATTTTTATTTTCTAATACTGATGGAGAAGGAAAAGGAGAGAGTGACATAAAGAAAATATGGAAATAATTTCCACAATTCGTTTTCTATGTTTGTACACTTCCAATATTTTTCATCACTCGATTCTCACACCAAAGGAAACATAATCATGATATTCCCGCATCATTCTTTTTTTTATTTATTTAGCCGAAAGCTCGTCCTAGAAACATAATATAACAAAAGTATCACAAATACTTAAAACTTCCCACTAAACTAAACAAGATAACAACAATAATAGGGCTAAATATATAGTATAAATATTGATTCATCAATATACACAATGAAGTTGCTTTCATCTATAAAATCTAAGAGCTCTTAGATTTATTAACATGCCGAAACATTTCAACGAGATGTGGATCCGAAAAATGGCCAGCGTTATTGGATTGTTGAGCTTGTACGAACGGCATGTTATTTGTATTTACAAGCGTGGGACGAGATGCTGCACACACGAGATTCACAACCTGCATGATTCCAGCTTGTGAAGGCGCACAGGCGAGTCTTACTTAACAGCAGAATACCCTGCACCACAGGATGCTGCAGTGAAATTATCAAATTTCATTTTTTTCCCTAGTTGCCAACATCATTTTAGTCTCCTAGGAGATGGCACGATTGGTGAGAATGATTTATGTGGAACAGGTTCACCGTAAACGTGGCATCCCAGTTTAATAATACAATATTACATGACATTGTCTTATTGGACCGAGGCGCAATAGTGACGATGAATTCATTTTATATAAGTTGCTCTTATTGTTGGGTGTCCTTACGCAAATTTTTCAAGACAAGGTGGATTTTTAATCAAAGATAGTTGTGATCTACATCAATGTTGTGCGGAAGCGCCAAATATGAAACCAATAATCTAATACGACAAAATATGACAAGACAAATAATCCAAATTGACACAATGTTTTATACTGATTCAGCGTAAGCCTACGTCTAGTTCAGAGACAGCGAAGAAATTCCACTAATAGTCAAAATGGAGATTACAAATTTAGTTCAACTCTTAAATCCCAAAACTCACATACACCCAAGGTATTAAATATCGATGAGATCGGAAATATTGGTAATAAAAAAACACGGAAATTTCGATAGAAATATCGGGATATTATCGATATCAATAAAAATTGAATAAAAACCACGGAAATTGTAAGAAAAACTTGGAAATTTTTATTGAAACTTTGTAAGATGTTTATTTAGTCAATTATCTATTAGTTTATCACAAAAACTTGGAAGGAAATGCATTGTATGATAGATAGAACTGATTTAAGTTGATTATATAACGAGCTGGTAAATATTGTGAGTGTAGAAAATATGTAGTAATTAATTAAAGAAATTTAAACACACCATAATCATTTATATATAATGAATTATGCAATATTTTACACTTTATACATTAAATGGTAAGATACACGAATGACTTAGCAAGGTTTAAAATATCGATGATATCGGAAATATCGGTAGTCCAAAAATACGAAAAATTTCGATTGAAATATCAGGATATTATGAATATTTTAGACCATACATACACCTAATAGCTCTCACTCGTACAAAGAACAAATGAAGAAGATGGAAACACATACCAAATCTCATCTCTCAAAAGCCACAAAACGTAGCATCAATATCTTTGACTGAGTGATTACAGACAAAGGGAGTTACAAACAAAAGGGGTTACAAACAAAGGGGGGAGAGCAGCAGCCTTCTTCAAATAGAAGAGTCGAATGCTCTCTCCTCTGCTCACTTCTTTTCTGCTGCTCTCCTCTACTTATCTCTCCGCAAGATCCAGCAAGGAAGATAAGGTGCACAATGATCAACAACAACAACAAATTTTTTTCCGACTAAATGGAATCGGGAATCATAAAAATGTAACTTTTTTTTCTTTTGCCAACCACAAAGTGCCGAAAGAAAAAAAAATCAACCCTTTCTTTTTTTTCTACAAACATCATCATTATGCCTCCTCATCATGTTCCCACATCCCCTTTTCTTATTCTATTTTTCTTGCTTCTGGCTTCTTTAACAAATGCAGCAGTTGCTGCCAATTAAAACAAAGAATGTGATATTCACACATTCTTTTTTACTTCTTTTATATTCTTTTAATTTTGGATCGTCGGATCGGATGAATTGAAAAAAATTAAATGACATAAATTAACAAGAGTTGTGAGAGAAGTAAAAAAAAGTGTGTGGATAGCACATCCCTTAAAACAATAGGAAAACCACCCTGTGGCTTTCACATGGACCAAATAAACAAAAGGAAAACCACCATGTGGATTTATTCCTCATAATCCATCAAATCAGAAAATTCGTGTCGTTGAAATTTGATCAAACGGCTAAAATTATTATAACTTTTTAAAATGAATTTTTATTTATAACCTTAGATCAAATTTCAACTGTATAAATTTTCTGATTTAATGGATCAGAAGGAAGGAAGGACCCGTTTCCTTACGGATAACCTAATTCAATATGAGCCAATCGCTGCCTTATCACATCATTGAATCCAATTGCTGCCTTATCACATCATAATTCAATATGAGCCAATCGCTGCCTTATCACATCACTTTCATAGTTTAATTCACCTTGCAATCCAGAAAGTAGTCTGCAACGGATTCGGATCCCATCCGGATTCAAAATGTGGAAATGTCTTAATCATTAATCAATCAGAAATTATTTGACTTGTTATTTTAAATTAAACACAAATAGTATTTGACGAAAACTAACGTATGAATGAACGGTTAGGATGTGAGGAAGTGTATAATTCCCACCAAATGGATCTAGAGAGGATCCTCTTCTGTCTGCAACCTAACCAGAAATACATCACACAGAATTCAAAAATGTTCAAAATTTCATATAATTGAGCAAATATTCATCAATTATAGATGCTTTGTCTGCCAGACAAGGGCAGGATACAGAATGGCAGAACAGATTATATGCTTTGTGATCGACAAGTTAATTCAACTACTCATCACCACAGAAGCAAACCTTTCGAGAAATGCAAGTACTGAAGTTGGTTTCATCAAAGATGAACTCGAGAGCATCCGATCATTCCTCAAGGAAGCAGATGCTAAGGCTGCAGCAGCAGACGGAGAGACGGGGAATGATGGTGTCAAAACTTGGGTCAATCAAGTAAGAGAAGCAGCTTTTTATATTGAAGATGTGATTGATGAATATTTGCTCCGCATCTTACAGCATCATCAACACCATGCATTCCTTCGTTCTTTCCACAAAATTATCCGGTTGGCTAAAAAATTGAGATCACAGGATGGGATAGTTTTGAAAGTTGACGGTATAAAAGAATTGGTTCGTGGAATCAAGGAGAGAAGTGAAAGATATGGATTCAAATCCCTTGATCAGCAAGGCCAGAGCAGTGGAGAAAACAACGACCCTCGAGTGGCTTCCCTTTTCATTGAGCAAGCTGAAATCGTGGGGATTGAATCTACCAGAGATGAGCTGACTGGTTTGTTGGTAGAAGAAGCACCAAGACGTAAAGTGATATCAGTGGTTGGCATGGGAGGACTTGGGAAAACCACTCTTGCCAAGAAAGTATATGACCAGCCGAAGGTGATGGCACACTTTGATTGCTATGCTTGGATTACGGTGTCCCAATCGTACAGGGTTGAGGATCTTCTGAGGACGGTAATAAAAAAGTTCTACATTTCAAGGAAGGAGCTTTTCCCAGAGGAAATCGACACAATGGATGAGGAGTCCCTGATTAGCACAGCAAGAGAGTATTTGCAGCAAAAGAGGTACGTTGTTGTGTTTGATGATGTGTGGAAAGTAGATTTTTGGGGGGCTATAGAACATGCTTTACCCGATAATAAAGGCGGACGAATAATTATCACTACACGGATTCAAGGTGTTGCCAACTTTTGCAGAAGATCTTGTTTTGTTCATGTTCATCACTTGCAGCATCTGCCTCCAAACAAGGCATGGGAATTGTTTTGCAGAAAGGCATTTCAGTTTGAATTGGAGGGAAAGTGTCCTGAAGATTTGGAAGAGTTGTCTCTTAACATCGTCAAAAGATGCGAAGGACTACCTTTGGCAATTGTTTCCATAGCTGGTCTGCTGTCAACCAAAGCTAAAGTTGTGTCTGAATGGCAGAAGTTATACAATAGCTTAAGTTCAGAGTTAGAAAGCAATCCCCACCTTACAAGCCTCACAAGAATCATATCCCTCAGCTATCACCATCTGCCGTATTACCTCAAATCGTGTGTATTATACTTTGGCATCTTTCCCGAGGATTACTCAGTTAGTTGCATAAGATTAGTTCGGTTGTGGATCGCTGAAGGTTTTGTGAAACCGAAGAGGGGCAAGACACTAGAAGAGGTTGGAGAGGAATACTTGATGGAGCTAATTCACAGAAGCCTGGTTCAAGTTTCAGAAGTTTACATTGATGGAAAAGCTCGAGGTTGTAGAGTTCATGATCTATTGCATGACGTCCTCCTTAAGAAGGGGTTGGATTCGAGCTTCTGTCATGTGTTATCAAAAGACGAGTCAACTTTTAAACCAACAACTCGACGTCTCTCAATGGACATCAGTCCTTCTGAGGCCGTGGGAAGCTTTACACAATCTCATATTCGTTCTGTATTTACTTTCAACCTAGAAGAATGGCCTGGGTCTTTTCTCGATACATTGAGTGGAAACATTAAACTTCTGAAAGTATTGGATTTCACAGATGCTCCAATCAATCAACTTCCGAAATATGTGGGGGATTTGTATCTCTTGACGTATTTAAGCTTGAGGAATACAAGGGTGGAGTTGCTTCCAGACTTCATAGGCAATCTACAAAACTTGGAAACCTTGGATCTAAAACAGTCTTTGGTGTATGAAATACCAGCCAAGATCAATAAGCTTGTTAAGCTGCGGCATCTTTTGGCCTACCATCGTGACTACAACTACGACGTGGGTTTGTATTGGAATTTGGAAAGAGGAGTGAAGATACATGAAGGTATTGGATGCTTACAAGCTTTGCAAAATTGTCCTATGTGGAGGCGAATCATGGAGGGATCAGGTTAATCAAAGAATTGGGAAAGTTACGACAGCTACGGAAGTTAGGCCTAAAAAACTTGAAAAGTGAAGATGGAAGGGCTGTGTGTGCTTCTATTGAAAAGATGAACCACCTTGAATCTCTAATTTTAACTGCAATAAATGAAGATGAAGTCCTTGATCTAGAATCCATTTCAACTCCACCACAATTTATTCGTGCTCTCTTCTTGATAGGGCGTTTAGAGCAGTTGCCAGGTTGGATTTCAAATCTTCAACACCTCGTCAGATTGGTGATTTGTTGGTCAAGGTTGAGAGATTCCCCACTAAAAGCCCTTCAAAATCTACCTAATCTGTTGGAGCTAACTTTGGATATCAATGCATATGATGGTGTGCAGCTGCATTTTGAGGAAGGAGGATTTCATAAACTTAGAAAGCTACATCTCAGGGAAATGATGGGACTAAATTCGTTGATCATAGACGATGGTGTCATGCCTCTTCTCCAAGAGTTTCGCATTGGGCCTTCCCCACAAATGAATGAGGTACCCTCTGGCATCCACCATCTCCGGAATCTGACATATCTTCATTTCTATGACATGCCAAAGGAGTTTGCGCGACAGATGGATCCAAAAAATGGCCAACATTATTGGATTGTTGAACATATACAAAATGTTCGTTTTAGTTACAAGGTCGGACCAAGATGGCGTGTATATGAAATTCACGCCCTGCGTGATTCCAACTTTTCTCTTTGGTGGAATGCTTGATTCCAACTTGTGAAACCAAGCATGGGAATGGGATATGCTTTGGTTAAGAGTTGGTTGTTAGCTCTGGTATCCTAGTTTCTCTTGCAGGTTGACTGGGAGGGGCTCTTTCTCTTCTGTTTTCTTTGTGTCGTCCAATCGTATTCCTAGCATTTTCCTTGTAATTTTATTGGTGGTTGCAATAAAAATATCCTATCCAATTGATTTTCTCTAGGAAAATGATAAACCGTATGCTCCTTTTAACCTCACTTTGATAATTGAAGTTAAAATATTAAATTTTTACTATTTTTGATCTTACCAATTCTTTACTATTTTATATTCTTTATATTAATTTGTAATCTCTAACATATTTTGTTAATCAAAGGGTAGATTTTGTGGATTATAGAAATTTCATGAATCATGATTGTTTTTTTTTATTTGCCAAAAAATTCATGAATCATGATTGAGCATTCTCCTTTTGTATGTCACACATATTGATCCAGCCACATATTTTTTGTATGCACAATAATGAAAATGTGTTAAGCGTTTAACGGTGTAAATTCAAACTCCGTCGATAACTAACGTAACAAAATTTATCGACAGACAAAAAAAATAAAAATTAGGTACAAGATGTAAAGGTGAGGGCCCACAAATGCAAGCGTTGGGGATAGCGGAGTGGATCCCACGATTTCAAAATTATGGACAGGAGGAACATTTCTCTCAAACTTGGGCGCTAAAAAAAGTCGTCGTCGTTTTTCCTTTTCTGGCTGAGTTTGCCTTCTTAAACCAACCCGACATTCTCGGCCCAAACAAATGTTCAAACCTTTCCGTTACTTCCCTTCACAAATTTCCAATTAGGGTTTCACATTAACCTTGATCAGAACTTCTACGTACATATATATACATATATATATTTATATATAATCTCTCTCTCCCTCTGTTTCTGAATTTTGATTTCCCGGGAAGGTTTCAAACCCGATCGTTTCTTCGAAAGTCTCTGAAAGCTTTTCGACAAAACAAAAATCCAAAATCTTTGTGATATCAAAAAGGAAATAAATTTCAAAACGCGCATGGAATTGGCTGGTTCATTTGCCTGAAAGTTGGTTCAGATAGAGATGGAGGGAGGGGCGAGAGAGATGGACGAAGAATTGCTGGAGTTCGCGAGGGAGGCTTTCGAGGGGGATGAAATTGACATGGACTACGAATTGATGCGCCAAAGGTTCTACGATTTCACTAGGCCGGAATCCTATTGGGAGGCGGAGGAGGCGGAGGAATGGTTCCGGTCCGCCGGAGGCTATCACCCCACGCGTAAGCGATTTCCAGAACATTTGTTTGTTGGTTTCTTATCATTGATAGACATATATTGTGTGGCTGAGATACTGCCACTTGTATGCAGATTAGAGAGTTAGTTAGAAAGTTAGTTAGGTAGTTTGTTTAGAATATTGAAAAGGGTATAAATACTGATGTATGTGGGATTGCTTAGTAAGTAAGAAAAGTAATATACTGGAAGTGTTTGGTTTCTACTTCTCTCTCTAAATTGCTTGAATCTCTTCTTCTTCTCACTATATTTCTGTAGTTTAATATGGTATCACTCGCCATTAGAGCTTGATCAGCTTCTTCGATCCGAGTCTTCCGCAGCTCCAACACTTCGTCTTCCTCTGAATTCTTGCTTCTTGTACGCATTTCTTGATTGCTTTGACTTCGTCTTCTCTGCTTTCTAGGGTTTATTGTTTCTGGGTGCTCTGCAACTACGATCTGGTTGCGTCTTCGTCTTCTTCTAATATTGCACTCCAGGTGTTTGATCCATTGTTTCAGTGAGTTTCGGCAACGATGGTAACAGCTTCTCAACTTCAGCTTCTTCAATCTCCGATCACTGCTCTAGTTTCGTCGATTTCTACATCTGTGAATGTGAAGTTGGATGATTCGAATTATCTCACTTGGCATTTTCAAATGCAATTACTGCTTGAGAGTAATGGAATTCTAGGGTTTGTCGACGGCACGCATCCCTGTCCTCCTCGACATTCCTCACCATCTGGAGATTCTGGTGTTAATTCCTCAAATTCAACAACTTCTTCTGCTAGTGATGAGTATTTGATTTGGATAATGCATGATAAAGCCCTGATGCAGTTACTGACTGCTTCTTTGAGTCCAATGGCTCTGTCGTGTGCTATTGGTAGTACAAGCTCTCGGGATCTCTGGATTCGATTGCAAGAACAATTCTCCACAGTCTCCAAGACTAGCATATTTCAGATGAAGTCTAATCTTCAAACCATTAAAAAGGGATCTGATTCTGTTGCTCAATATTTACAGAAAATCAAAGAGGCCAGAGATTATCTTTCAGCTGCTGGGGTGTATTTTGTTGATGAAGATATTGTCATTCTTGCGTTGAATGGTTTGCCACCAGAGTATAATACATTCAGAACAGTAATAAGGGGACGTGAGAATGTTATATCTCTGAAGGAGTTTAGGACACAATTACTTGCTGAAGAAGCTATTCTGGAATCCACTGTTAATGCACCTTTTATGACTGCAATGGTTGCTCATAATTTACCTCCGAGAGCACCTACTCAATCCAATTTTGTGGCTGGTGGTTTCAAGCAATTCAATGCTCCCAAAAACAAGGGGAAGGGCCGGTTTCATCAAAATAACAGGACTTTTTCATCCAAGCCGTATCTTCCTACTCAAACTCATGTTCTCCAAAATCCAAGTCCTGGTGTTCTTGGTTCTTTTCCTCATCAGCAGCACTCCCCTCCTTCTGCTCCACATCTCCTCTTATGTCAACTTTGCAATTGTGGTGGTCATTCTGCGCCTTTCTGTCCATCCAATTCTTCTGCGAAATCCCGATGTCAGATTTGTGGCAGGTTTAATCACAGTACATGGTTCTGTTTTTACAATGACAAGGGTCCCAACTATATTGGTGCTGGCAATGGTTCTTATCCACAACCAGGGCATCCATATTCTCAGCAGGCTTCTTATTCACAGCAAGGGTATTCATCACAGTTTCCTGCTCCACAACAAATTCAGTCTCAGGCACCAATGCAGGCTTTTCATACTATGGTGCCACAACCCTCTCCTCCAGCAGCATCTTCATCTCCTTCCCAAGTTTGGATCACTGATTTCGGGGCAACGAATCATATGACTGCTGATCTTTCCAATCTGTCTCTAGCTTTACCCTATCCCACTAATGAAGTCATACAAACTGCCAATGGTGAAGGTTTGCCTGTATCTCACATTGGTAGTACTGTTATAAAACCATCTCTCCATCCTATAAAATTGAATTCTGTGTTATATGTTCCCAAATTAACACAGAATCTTCTATCTGTCCATCGCATATGTTTGGATAATAATTGTTGGCTTATCTTTGATGCCTTCTGTTTTTGGATCCAGGACAAGGCCACAGGGAGGGTACTCTATAAAAGATTGTGCAGTAATGGACTCTACCCACTCTCATCTCTAGCCAATGTGTCACCTGCTGGTTCTCAAAGCATTGCTTCAAATAAAGCCCTCCTTGGTCAGTTGGTTACTTCTTCTACTACCTGGCACAATAGATTAGGACATCCATCTAATTCAGTTGTCTCTCTTATGTTGCATAAGTCCAAAGTTGCTTTTGCAAAAGACCCAAATCCTGTTCTGTGTCCTAGTTGTCTTGAGGGTAAATTCTGTAAACTTCCATTTGCATTAAGTGTCAATAAATCTGTAACTCCTTTTGATGTAGTGCATAGTGATCTTTGGGGTCCTGCACCTTGTAAATCTGTGGATGGATATCGGTACTATGTCACCTTCATTGATGAATGTACCCGGTATTCCTGGATTTTCCCATTGATGAATAAATCCGATCTTTGTGCCACTTTTATTGCTTTTCATGCTTATGTTCTCACTCAATTCTCTGCAAACATTAAAATTTTGCAAAGTGATGGTGGTGGTGAGTACATTAGCAAGTCACTTCAATCTTTTCTTCTCCAAAAGGGCATTTCTCATCAAAAATCCTGTCCTTATACCCCTGAACAAAATGGGATGGCTGAACGTAAACACAGACACGTTATTGAAACCACAATTACTTTGTTGCAAACAGCTAAACTGCCTTCCCAGTTTTTGGTCCTTTGCATGTCAAACTGCCATTTATCTCATTAATAGAATGCCTACTCCCATTCTCCATAACCAGTCTCCTTTTGAAGCCTTATATGGTGCTGTTCCAGTGATTCATCACTTGCGAACGTTTGGTTGTGCTTGTTATCATTTCTTAAGACCTTACAATGCTACCAAACTTCAAGCTAAGACTACAAAATGTGTGTTTTTGGGATATGCATCCAAATTCAAGGGCTTCATTTGTTTTGCAGTTTCTACACATAAATTCTTTGTGTCTAGACATGTGGTATTTAGTGAACATGAGTTTCCTTATAATGACTTGTTGTCCCGAGCCACCACACCACAATCTCCTACTTCTGTTCACATTACTGACCTGTCATCTCTTCCTGTCGTCCCCTCACAGCCTATAGTCACTATACCCTCCTCTCATACTCCTATTTCTCCTGAGTCTCCATTACATTCCCCTTCTGCTCCCGGGTCTTCATCCTTCTCACCAACCACGTCTCAGTTTCTTGACCCACCACCCTCTCATCAGTCCATTACTGGTGCAGTTTCACCCACTGATCACAACCCTGTGGTACTTGAACATAGTCCTGTTACACTACAAGTGGTTCCTTCCATTCCCTCCTTGAATATACACCCTATGCAGACTAGGAGTAAGAGTGGTATCAGCAAAAAGAAGGTTCTTTTGTCTGCTCTTGCTACTTCCATGGATGCTGATTTGTCTATGTGTGAACCCAAAACATACAAATCTGCTCTCAAGAGTCCTGTGTGGTTTCAAGCAATGAAGGAAGAGATCAGTGCTTTGCATACTCAAGGAACATGGAGTTTAGTTCCTTTACCTGCAAACAAGAATTTAGTAGGGTGTAAATGGATTTTCAAACTCAAGAGACATTCAGATGGTTCAATTGCACGCCATAAAGCTCGATTGGTTGCCAAGGGATTTAGTCAAGAACCTGGGCTGGATTACAGTGAGACCTTTAGTCCAGTTGTTAAACCCACCACAGTGAGGATTGTTTTAGCACTTGCTGCTCACTTTAATTGGTCACTTCGGCAACTAGATGTCAAGAATGCGTTTCTCCATGGCATATTACAGGATGAGGTGTATATGGATCAGCCACCTGGCTTTGAGGATCCCCAGAATCCTACTTTGGTATGTCAATTGCATAAGTCCCTATATGGCTTAAAACAGGCCCCGAGGGCATGGAATGACAGGTTTACTTCTTTTCTGCCTAAGTTGGGCTTCCATAACACCTATTCTGATTCCTCCTTATTTGTGAAACCTGTTGGTGCCAATATTGTGATCTTATTGCTATATGTCGATGATATTATCATCACAGGAAGTGCAATCACTGAGATTCAGCAGGTCATTGATGCTTTAACTTCTGAATTTGACATCAAGGACTTAGGTCCTCTTCACTACTTCCTTGGCATTCAGATTTCCAAGACTGCCAAGGGGTTATTTTTGTCCCAACAGAAATATGTACAGGATCTCCTTGTCAAAACAGAAATGCTTGACTCCAAGCCTTGTGACACACCCTGCTTACCTTCTACCAGGTTACTCAAGGATGATGGTGACCCTTATCCTAATCCTACTTTATATAGGAGTGTGGTGGGTGCTCTTCAATATCTAACGTTCACACGCCCTGATATAGCTTTCTCTGTGCATCAAGTCTGTCAGTTTATGCAATATCCTATGGTCTCTCATTTCACTGCAGTTAAAAGGATCCTTCGGTATTTGAAGGGCACTATGTCCTGTGGCATTACCTATTCTCAAGGGGACTTGGCACTATCTGCATTTAGTGATGCCGATTGGGCTGGAGATCCCAATGATCGGCGATCTACAACAGGGTCTGTGGTGTTCCTCGGGCATAATCCTATCTCATGGTCCTCTAAGAAACAGCAGACAGTGTCCCGATCTTCGACTGAGGCAGAGTATCGTGCTTTATCCTCCACTGCAGCAGAACTTGATTGGATTCAACAAATCCTTGCTTTTCTGCATTTTCCGATGTCTGCTCCTCCTGTTTTATACTGTGACAACCTTTCTGCTATAGCCTTGTCTTTCAATCCTGTCCAACATCAACGGACCAAACACATTGAAATTGATGTGCATTTTGTTCGAGAGCGGGTTTCTCAGAACAAGCTTGTGGTGCAGTTTGTGTCCTCCAAGGAGCAGTTGCTGATATCTTGACCAAAGGCCTCAGTTCTTCATTGTTCCTTTTTCATTGTAACAATCTCATGTTAGGATCATCCAAACATGAGCTTGAGGGAGGATGATAGACATATATTGTGTGGCTGAGATATTGCCACTTGTATGCAGATTAGAGAGTTAGTTAGAAAGTTAGTTAGGTAGTTTGTTTAGAATATTGAAAAGGGTATAAATACTGATGTATGTGGGATTGCTTAGTAAGTAAGAAAAGTAATATACTGGAAGTGTTTGGTTTCTACTTCTCTCTCTAAATTGCTTGAATCTCTTCTTCTTCTCACTATATTTATGTAGTTTAATAATCATGTCCCAAAAACAATGAATTTTGGATCATCTCCTATGATTACCACATTAATTAATGATCGTTTTCTGCTAATAAATTTCAACATCTACATGTTTAGTTCATGCATTTTAAATATGTTACGTTGTTTTATATGAACAGATTAGAGATTAATTGAATTATAAATAATGTAATTTGATTAGATTAATTTGTTACCACTAACTTTGTATTTTCTTTGTTTAATTTGTTTCAAATCCTTTAGCCTTCCTTGAAAAATTGTTGAATTGGCAAAAAGAGAATCATCCAGTACCTGTAAAAACCTCTGCGGAATCGAAAGATGTTGAAGTTACTAGATGCAGTACCTTGAAAAATTGCATGGAAACGGAGATCTCTGCATTCGTAGACGATAATGACAAAGGTACATTCGGCCTCATCGACTCATGTCTTATTAGATTTTCGACGCAATGTGATAGTTCGTTGTAAAATTACCGCACTTGGAAAATTTTATGTCTGTTATCTGAATCGACTTTGCCTGAATTAGTACATGAAGTTGTATCTCACTGTTATGTTTTATGTTCATGTTTCGACATGATTAGAGTTTTCTAATCACATGGCTCAAGACACTCTGAAAACCAAACTGAAGTCCTCGGGTAAGTCACCACATCTATTAAGGAGTTCAACGTTAATGAAATTCACGGCGAGTCAGTTGGCCAAGCAAAATCAGCACCGAGAGGTTCACTCCAATCGGTTATTAAGGAGGTGCTGTTATTTTTCTCTGATGTTTCTGTTGTCATTAATGTATGTTTTGTTCTAATTGTTTGGTGGTCTAGTTTTCTAACTTGTCCCATTTTCCGACTCTTGATTACAGAGTTGCGAAAAAGCTCGAGAAACTCGATGAGAAATCACAGAATTCTCCGCCACCTACGATGGGCTGCGAAAATTCGAAGCAATGTAGCATAGCACTTTGCAAATTCGGTAGTGCTATCACACGTGCATTCTTACTTCTCACTAACCCCTCTCAATTTTTCGGCCATTGGAAAAATAAGTGTGTAAATAACACTATCCTACAAATTACGCAACCGAAACTATAACAGAAGAGCGATTATAACGTATTAAAGTACCATCTCACTAAATTATCCAACAATGTTTCAGAGATTAGGAACAATCATACTACTTTCAGCTCAGTCATTCCATCAAACGGCTGGTTCGCTGCAATTCCACTTATGCTCAAATCACTACCGTCCGTTCCTACCATCGATTCCATCAAATTCTCCGAAACCCATTTCTCAATCAAATCCAAACACAGCTGCAACCACACCCAGAAAATTAAAAAGTCGAACTTTACAAAACTCCACTCCGAAAACATAAATTACACAAAACCCAACAAAATCTCACCCTGTTCTCGGACAATCCGACTTGAATAACCCCATCCGGATTATCCACCCTCTCGTACGGGTCCTCCGAAGCCCTATCCAACCCGATATAGTACGGCGAGTCATTGGGCTTCGCAATCCAGCTCGCCCGGGAGGACATCCGGACCCGGCCCATGGACCCGCGGGTGGACAAGCTGGACCGCGACAGCGTTCTGGGGAGCTCCGCCAGGTTGGAGGAGGACTGGGAGGGGGAAGGTGGATCGGGTTTGGAGGGTCGCCGTCGTTTTAGGTAGAGCTGGAGGCAGTAATAGAGAGCACATGGGATTAGAGAGGCGAGGATGAGGCCGCCTCTGCCTTGGACGACGCCTTGGAGTGGCACAATCAGTCTCATCGCGGTGACTCCGGTGGGCTTGTTTCGGGTTGGGTCGGAGTCGGGTTGGCCGGTCCAGGTCTCGAGCTGCAGTGGGAGGGTTTCGGGTTGGCCGTTGGTTGGCGTGGAGGGATTGAGTGAGATTCGAGAGCCCTGCGAGGGAAGTGTGTGTTTTGCAGTTTCGCTACCAGAAACTTTTGGTCTGGTTATGATTGGCACCTGCCAGTTTCCATCTTTGCATCTTTTGTTGGTGGCGTGCAAACACCATCGTCGTATAATAACAAAAAAACGATTTCATTCTTTTTGGGGCTAAAGATGTAATTTTGAATCAAATGCTTTTCTTATCATATTTTTTTATACCGTAACCGTTATCTAATAAAGATAAGATACATATGTGTGTAGACCTTACTTTTATTAGAGAAATTGAGAATTTTTACTGTGCTCAAAACAATAGTTGTACCATATGTCCTGGTGCAAATACTAAATATTATTCTGTGTTTCGAGCACATTAAAAAATCTCTCGGATCACATTGTGTTTGGACCTGATTTTACACATCGGCCTAAGCAATCGAGGCCGTTGAGTAAGCATGGTTCTCAACCGTTGGATAAGAAAGTTTAGATATTATTGTTAAGAGATAATATTATGATTTTTAATCATAATAATTATTTTTTTAATAAGTTATCTCGGTTTTTATGCAAAATAAATGGGATGGAGGCAAGTAGAGTTGTGATGGGGACGTGAGCTTTGAATCAGGTTGGTTTGTTTTGCTGGACATGCATGCATGGGATGTAAAGATAATGAAGTGATAGGGGATAAATCCAAACATGCCAAAACGTGTAATTTGCAAAAGAATTGTGCAATATGGAGATTCTATCCTAATGCATGGTTTTTTGGGATTGGTTTTGTGCACGTGGCATGCGACAATGGAGATGATGGTTTTGCATGGTGATGGCAATATGGGTTTAAAGGTTTCTCATGTTTTTTAATAAGAAGCCTAGGTGGGTTAGATCTCTAGTGAGATGTGATAAAGCCTAGGTAGGCTTTATTTATCTGAAGGATATGTGCGGCGTATTTGATACGGGATCAGGGTTTATCTGAAGGATATGCGCAGCGTATTTGATACGGGATCAAGGTCAATTCCACAAAATAGAGTTGCAGTTGGACTCTACAAAATTATTTGGCCGCGTCACACAACATTTGCTCCTATAAATATAGAGGTAGTGGCAACGGAAGAAGGACCCCTGCAAATCAATACAAAATTGCCCTGCGCAAATTCTCACAACTTGTGATTTTTCTTTTCCCTTTTTTCGCTGACACATCTTCCGTTGGCATCAACAGCACTGTGGAAGCAACCGGTGATATCTTAAGTCGGCATAGATAGCTCTGTCACCGTAGAATCAGTCGGTCTCGCAATACTTTCCGTTGGCATCAACAGCACTGCGGCGAGAACGACCGATTACCTATCCAAGTCTCGGTCGAGAAGGATTTCTGAATCCTTATTGGTCGAGGTCATCTCATCAGCCTTCTCGGCGAAGTGAGGTGTTACGAGTTATTACATTCGGCACATTGAGGGCCGAATTTGATATTGAACTTCGTGAGAATAGTAACCTTGTCTTCAGGTTCGAGAGCCCAAGAGGCCGAGACGTGTTCCTTTCTTGGCCGCAATCGCAAGACGCAGAAGTCAGTAGCGCGACCCAACGCAACATCAACAAATTTACTCCTCGGCCGAGCTCGGCCGACGAGTTGGCACGCCCCGCATTCACCGAAGGACGTAGTTAGCTTATTAATTACTCGGCCTGCGCGCCACGTAGGCTTGGTAGTTTTTAGGGTCAACATTTTGGCACGCCCAGTGGGACCCAGTGCTAAACTACGAAGTTCACATGATCTATCTCGATCCGGCTTCAAGGGATGAGTGTTATCGCCTATTAAAGGAGCAAAACAACTTCTCGAGAGTTTGAGAAGAATTTCTGAAAGGCAAGAGGCCGGGGGGCAAATCTCCACTCCGGCCACAACCAATATTCAGCCTAAGAAAAGTGATAATTTGGCCGAAGAACAAAGGCCACTTGTTGTTTCGGTAGAGACTGAAAATATAGTAGGCCTAGAAGAAAAAATTCAAGTCCCTAAGCTATATACAAAAATTGACTTGGAAAAAGATTCGTCAAAAGAACGCTCCAGTGACGAACGAGGCCGAGATATTGGCCTAGCCCGAGAAACTACGCCAATTGATATGATTATTGGCAATAAAGCCGATATGGAGAAATCCTGTTCGGCTAAGTTATTTGAATTAAAAGCCGAAATTATGCCTGGGGGGCATAATAATTGTTCAGCGCATTCGGCGGCCGATAAAAAATCTTTCGTCAAGTCAAACATATTTGGAGATAGTATTTTATTCGGCCTTGCAAAAATTCAAAGTGAAAGTTTTGATACAAAAAGCCTTCGGCTTGGAATAAAACATCGTTGGCCTCCTCCATTTATAGTAGGGCCACTTTTGTTTTCTTTTGCTACAAAATAAGAATAAATTATTTTCTTAACCATTCGGCTTTTTAGGCCGATGCTTAAGAAAATAAAGGGGGCAATAAGATGGTGCGGACTTAGAAAAACAAGAAAAAACAAGATGGTGTACTCGGCAGACAATTTTGGTCAAATAATGGTGTACTCGGCAGACAGTTTTGGTCGAATGAATTTGCGAGAGCATGCATGACAATTGCTCGGCAGACAGTTTTGGTCAAATGAATTTATGGGAGCATGCATGGTTGCGAAGCTTGCTCAATTCAGTTTCGATGTGCGGTTTAATATATATATGTGTGTGTCAGAATGACCCATCACATGAAACAGAAAGAGAGACGCATACGGAAAAGACAAAGGAAAATTCATGAAGTTATGGTAGGCTTCCACATGGGCTAACCTTTTCGTTTGGTGATGTAGTGATCTGTGAATTCCTAACAGCATTATTTGGCCGAATACAAATCTTTGGCCGAATAAAACATAGTTCGGCCGAATATAATGGGTTATATATATATATATATATATATATATATATATATATATATATATATATATAGGCTCTACAGCCAGTTCTTCTCGGTCTCAGCCCTATTTACTCTCGACCCCAGTATTTTTGACCGATACTAGTGTTTTCTCGACCCCGGCAGTTGAGAGTTGGAGTAGTTCACGACACTGGCAGAGGGAGGTTATGACATTGGCAGAACATAGGTGATTTTAATGCCGAGAGACAAAATTTGTTTCGGCAATACGACGAAGTGTTGTTGGCTACGAGCAATTAATTTCCTTAACCATTCGGCTTACGAGCCGAAGCTCACGGAAACTAGGGGGCAATGTTTGGACCTGATTTTACACATCGGCCTAAGCAATCGAGGCCGTTGAGTAAGCATGGTTCTCAACCGTTGGATAAGAAAGTTTAGATATTATTGTTAAGAGATAATATTATGATTTTTAATCATAATAATTATTTTTTTAATAAGTTATCTCGGTTTTTTATGCAAAATAAATGGGATGGAGGCAAGTAGAGTTGTGATGGGGACGTGAGCTTTGAATCAGGTTGGTTTGTTTTGCTGGACATGCATGCATGGGATGTAAAGATAATGAAGTGATAGGGGATAAATCCAAACATGCCAAAACGTGTAATTTGCAAAAGAATTGTGCAATATGGAGATTCTATCCTAATGCATGGTTTTTTGGGATTGGTTTTGTGCACGTGGCATGCGACAATGGAGATGATGGTTTTGCATGGTGATGGCAATATGGGTTTAAAGGCTTCTCATGTTTTTTAATAAGAAGCCTAGGTGGGTTATATCTCTAGTGAGATGTGATAAAGCCTAGGTAGGCTTTATTTATCTGAAGGATATGTGCGGCGTATTTGATACGGGATCAGGGTTTATCTGAAGGATATGCGCAGCGTATTTGATACGGGATCAAGGTCAATTCCACAAAATAGAGTTGCAGTTGGACTCTACAAAATTATTTGGCCGCGTCACACAACATTTGCTCCTATAAATACAGAGGTAGTGGCAACGGAAGAAGGACCCCTGCAAATCAATACAAAATTGCCCTGCGCAAATTCTCACAACTTGTGATTTTTCTTTTCCCTTTTTTCGCTGACACATCTTCCGTTGGCATCAACAGCACTGTGGAAGCAACCGGTGATATCTTAAGTCGGCATAGATAGCTCTGTCACCGTAGAATCAGTCGGTCTCGCAATACCTTCCATTGGCATCAACAGCACTGCGGCGAGAACGACCGATTACCTATCCAAGTCTCGGTCGAGAAGGATTTCTGAATCCTTATTGGTCGAGGTCATCTCATCAGCCTTCTCGGCGAAGTGAGGTGTTACGAGTTATTACATTCGGCACATTGAGGGCCGAATTTGATATTGAACTTCGTGAGAATAGTAACCTTGTCTTCAGGTTCGAGAGCCCAAGAGGCCGAGACGTGTTCCTTTCTCGGCCGCAATCGCAAGACGCAGAAGTCAGTAGCGCGACCCAACGCAACATCAACAAATTTACTCCTCGGCCGAGCTCGGCCGACGAGTTGGCACGCCCCGCATTCACCGAAGGACGTAGTTAGCTTATTAATTACTCGGCCTGCGCGCCACGTAGGCTTGGTAGTTTTTAGAGTCAACACATTGTTAATAAGCTCTTCAATTCAAGTTTTCCTTTCTCACGGTATCGATAATATACCAATGAATCCACTTATATATATATATATGTATGTATCTTCCCAAGTAGAGGGTATATATATATGTGTGTGTGTGTATCCTCCCAAGTATACCAGCACTCCTTAAATTATTGAACATTGAATCAGAACAAGTCTGCAATATGATGGATTACACATGTCAATGGTTGAGACAAACGCTGACTCATCACATCACTCTTGTGTGTGTGTATCTTCCCAAGTATACCATCACTCCATAAATGATTGAACATTGAATCAGAACAACTCTGCAATATGATGGATTACACATGTCAATGGTTGAGACAAACGCTGGCTCATCACATCACTTTCATAGATTAGAGGCAGATTTTCTGCCCTCCTATTTGGATCCCCTTCTCATTCCATTCTATTTTATGTTGTCACGATTAAACCACGTCAATATTTTATATTGATTTTTTTTATAGAGATAATAAAACAAAAAGCAATATGAATATAAAATGTTGACGTAACTTAACTGTGATCACACAAATAGAAGGGAATGAGAAGGGTACCCAAACAGGAGGGCAGGCAACCTGCCTCCTCATAGATTCGGTCTCCTTGCAATCTAGA